GAGCGGCTATTGCTCTTGCCCCACTGCAGTATGTCACAGTTCGATCCCTGTTGATATGGGATCGAGTTTCTGGCTCCACTCATGACCCGGGAACGGTCAGAAGGAGTAGACGATGCATAAAGTTGCCACTAAAGGGTAAAACAAATAAACACAGTTTCAGCTCTAACTTAACATGAACTTTGGATTTCATGTCTGACTTCCTGAGGTCGTGCAGTCTGTTTGCTCAAAGCTCCCAGTTTCAAGAACTGCCGATAAAGCTATCAATAAAAGTTGAACTTTGTGCCCCTCCCCCTCGCTCGCCCTCGTTTGATGTAAATAATACCATATACAGTTCTTTCTAACGTTGAATAAATACAAGTTCACTTCAGGTCTATGTTATTCAAACAGTCTGATCGATGAGTCCACGTCTGTGTGGCGTGAACCTGTTGATCTTTCAGCTTCAGACATTTTTTTTTCTTTTTGCTTTGCTTCCACTGAACTAAATTATTGATCCGATTTTTTTTCAGCTCAACAGTTTCATATGCCAGATTTGGTTTTAAATGATGTCTTTATTGTCTGCATAAACATTGTTAGTTATATCTCGTGTCAGTAAAGTGACTTGTAAATGGTGAATGATCTAAATGTATATATAGTATTTCTAGACCTGGTGACTACTCAAAGGACTTCACACAACAGCAGGGGTAATTAATTATATTTGTCCGAGGGCCAAAATTTCTTGGGCAGACACCTTGGGGGCTGGACGCGGGAATGAAATTAAATAAATATCCCATTTTTGTCCAACTTTATTATGTGATATTTATTTTGTAATCCACTTGCGGAATGCATGGTTGGGGCGGCCAGTTGATGGTCACTGCGCTACAGGTTATGCCAGGACATGGCGTCATAGCATACTTTCGAAAAACCACCTTAAAAAGGTGTCTCTAGCTTTAGCCTTCATTCTGACACTTTCACAGCTCCACAACTTTGTTTACTAAACTCAACTGCACTGTATTGTACTTTCTTTATGTGTCTTTTTTACTCTGGTACATGCTGTTGTACGACGAAGTACACATTAATACACAAGTGTATCAAGTTTTCTCTTTAACATCTTCCTGCCAATCGTCCTACATGTATCAATTTATATTTACTGTTATCTACTGATCAACAATCCAATGTCTCATAGCTCTGATACACCAGCTGGAACCTGTTATTTTAAAAGGCAACTCTTGATAATATTATCTGAAAATCTTGGGTTGGATTGGAAGTAATGAAACAACCGTGCTCTGCCGATGCAGTTCAATATGTCCATTCATTCACTACTACCAGGAACTGTTTTTGATTTATCAGTTGACGCTTTCACCTGCTCTCTCTCTCTCTCTCTTGCTTTCACCTGGTCTCTCTCTCTCTCTCTCTCTGTCTTTCTCACAGGCCAAACAAAACAAACCTGCTGCAATAACAACATTTTTCACAACTAAAAAACTGTTCCATTTATCTGACGTCAACCCAGTTCACTCCCAGATATGTTCCATTAATGTACATACAATCAATCACTGGGTACAAGCTTTAAATAGACACGTCTATAACAACAGGGATGTTTCTTACAAAAACAACAATGACACAGTGGTTTTTAACAAGAACTGTAATGACAGTATCAAGTGTTGAATAATAGCACGTCGGCAGTGTCCAAATTCATATTTTCAAATTAGCTTAGTAATGAGAACTGATGGAAGCTGCCATCTGTTTGTGGCAGGGCCTTGGTGTGAAACCGACTTGGAACCAGAGTGTGTAATCATTATCTTATGAAACTGGAATCCTCCTCCTTTACAAACCGTACACAGGTATTAGTTTGAATTCAGGCTGCAGCTTGTTTATCATGCTGTTGGTTTTGGTGCGTTATGGAAAATCTCCAAAAAAAAAAAAAAAGCTGTTGGTTTTGGTGCGTTACGGAAAATCTCCAAAATCTGTTTTTGTTCAATTCCAGCTTCAATTACAACCTGAAACTGACCTAAAAAAATATTTGTCTCGAAAAAGTTTAAATTACGTGCGCAGGAGAATTTTGCAAGTGTTTTTTTTTTTGTTTTGCAAGGAATGTCTGAAATAAATGTCATATATTTTGTTATGCCTTGCAACGTGAGGAAGCAGGCGCTGGAGAGATGTCAAAAACTTCCAAACTTAAAGCGAACCAGAACACAGGAACATGAAAACATCACAACAACCCTCAAAAGGAGAGAGTGAGGGAGAGAGGTATATATATACCCAGGGCACCAGGTGACACCAGTGAGACTAATGAACAGGTAATCACAGGACACAGGTGGGTGTGATGACACTGATTACACAGCAGAAGGACAGGGAAGACGGAGAGACCTCACACATTTATATGATGAAGAGGGAATCACTACACTTTAAAAAAATCTAACAAAATCTGTTTTGTTAATCCGTTCATGTCATTGCACAGATTTCAAAAGTTTTAAAATGATTATAATTCTGTGGATGTGTTATAACTAGGGATGTCCGATATTAACTCTTGCTAATATCCGATATGCCGATATTGTCCAAACACTTAATTTCCGATTCCGATATCAACCGATACTGATACATGCAACTGTTTTCCCCCCAAACTGTGGTAAACGATTCCAACAAATTTGGCGCAACCCAGGCACTGCATTAGCAGGTTTTCATTAGGTACAACCAATTACAATTCTCACAGATATTACATAATTATGCTAATATCGGTACGTCGATAATATCGAACATCTTGAAATATATATGATTCGTTTCACAAGCCCTGAACTTATTAGTCATTTCTCTCTCGCATACTGGTTTCTTCTTCTTTTAATCCTAACGTATACATTTCATGACAAGCTGTTGTTACTTGTTGTGTTCATGATCAAAGTGTTTGGACAAAGTAGCCAATCAATAAAACAATATCGCTGCCTCCAGGACGTCAGCACAGATGATCACAATTACCTCGTCGGATCATTCCCGGTGAGAAGAAGCGTCTTTCGTAGACACATCAGCGGCCCTGGGAAATTCATCTAAATATAAATTACATTTGGCTCATCTCATAAAATTCAAAACCCAATCATCAC